AATTCCTTTAATTCCTTTAATTAAATGAATTTAATTTTTAAACGGGTGGCAACGCTTGTAAAATACCTCAGTAATATTTTAGATGTTCAATCTGAAGGTTTCAAAACAATCTTTCATTTGACACCCATATTTTAATTTTTCAGTTAGCTTGCCTCTTGGCATCCATTTTTTAATATAATTTTGAAATAAGTAATTCCCTTAATTCAAGTTGAATTTGATTTTTGAAACAGGTGGCAGCCCTCCTCCATAAGTATGCAATTGATTTTATATATCTCCATACCAAGTTCCAGTACTCTATCACAAATATTTCCTAAGATATGCAGTATGAAAAATTCCATTTGTATGGGAGGTGCCACGTCCCTTCGTCTAATCGAGATTAAATCTATCCTATAGCTAGTAGCTGAAGCGTGAAAGCGTAATAAACAAATAAACTCACTTTCAGATTTATAATATTAGTAAGGATGCCTAAAGCCATTTGAAAACTTTTGTATACACTAGTTTTCGTCTAATTAAGCGTGAAAATAAATTGCGCAATAAACACATTAATGCAAAGTCAACCAAATTTAATCAAAGAAATCAGGCTTTAATATTTTAAGATTTTTCGATGTCGACATCGATATCGATTACAAAAGGCAGTCAACCGAAAACTGTTCAGTATTCACGCCATTTGATTTACACCTGAAATCACGTCCCGGCGCCATTGGCGTTAATTAATGCATTAATGATTGACTGCCTGGCAGAGTGCCTTGCCTGGTAGTTTGCTGCTGAAAAGCAAAAGGATTGGCTTCCAAAGTTCACAAAAATATTTACTTTTATGTCTACAAACAGACATACATACATGTGTTTGTGTTCAATTAAATGTGTAGAAAAGCTTTTAAGTAAGTTGGTAAATCAGCTGAACACACAAATTGTAAAAGATTTTTTTAATCTTGTATTTAATGTGTGGTGAAACAGTTGTCACATACATACATACTTTTATGCACATACTTTCGTACCTAATATATTAATTTTGTATTAAAAGCGCAAATGAAACCTTAATGCATAAATAAACAACTTAATTAAAGTATGTACTGTAATATAGTATATTAAACCATATCTATAGTATGCTTCACTGTAGAACTTTTATATGCAGTCTAGGTACATTAGTAGGGTCCTTAAATATCCCTATCTAAATTTTGTTTTACTCTACCTACAAAATTAAGACATTCGCGAAAATTTTAAACCAATTCCTAGGGAGGCTTGAAAAAATTAGTCAATTAGAGTAACAAATTTTGTAAAAATCGATAATCCGGTTTTGGATACACTAGTTTTGTCGTGTAGATGTATGAAAATCGATTTTTTTTGCCAAAAGGTTGTTCCAAATCTCAATTCTGTGTAGTTTGGCTTCAGTATTTGCTTAAACATCGCAGTTTTTGCTTGAAACAATAAAAGCTCGCAGCTATTTTGATTGATTCGAAAAATCGCAATATTTGGAATGCATTTAGAATTTGGTGAAAATATAAATGTTTCAAGTTTGATAGTGTTTGAGCCGAAAAATCAATGCTTGATTCGAAAGGCAACGAACTTATAGATGCACTCTCCTATACCTAAAATACGAACCTATAATGGCTGCACTTATTGAGCAATGAAAAAAAATAAAACACTGAAACTTTGTGAAATATTTAGCCGAAGTTTTCATGTATGTACAATAGGGTGGTCCAAAAATGTATGTAGAAAAGTAAAGGCGGAATTTAAATGCTCTCAACCCTAAAATTGTTCTAAATCGAATAAAAATATAACCCTCAAAGTTTTGTATGCATTTATATGGGAACAAAATGGTGGTAATGGTGGAGAGAGAATTTTTCAAAATCAATATTTTTCGATTTGAGAACTCTGGTTCTCTTCAGGAGATTTCCAATAATAACACCCAATTGTATATTTAACCATTCTTTAATAATAAAACATTTTTAGCTTTTAAAAAGCTTAGAGAGTCGACCGTCGACAAAAATGTATCCTCAAATAAAATACAAACGAGCATTTTTAAATTTTTTAAAACAAATCAACATATGTATTTCGATTTTGTTTACAAATAAATGATTTCAAAATGAATTAAATTAATACTCTTGTTTTGTCTTACCAGGAACAATATTATTTTACTTTTGATACTTTTTAAATATCATCAAATTTCAAATCACCCTGTACCGATAAAAAAGAGTCTTAACTTCAATAAATAAAACCTTACCGCACATCTATAGACCAAGGTCTTTATTTTGACCTCTCACACCTTTCACATTTGAAGTTCGAAATAACTGTGCAAATCCAATGACCTTCACAAATATACCCTCTGGATAATACATATATGCAAATATCTACTTAGTTTGATCGGTTTGATTTTTAGAAAAAGTGGTAAGACTAATCAAAGATATTTTCAAACCAAAGCTTTCATAAATCTCTTTCGAGTGACACTCACATTTTATCACATCATAATCTAAATTGGACTTTTTAAACCCCTTTGAAAAGCCCTTTAATTTGGAAATCCTTTTCAAAATTATTCTTAAATCTCTTTCGTCTAACTTAGGAATTAAGCTGAACTTGATTTTACAAAAACGTGGCAGCCCTCCTTCCTCATTAAAGGTTAGAAATAAAGTCTTTTCACACTCAATCCGATAAATATCCCCTTTTAATTATTAATTTATTAGATAATTTGCATGAGACTTTTTAAACACACGGCAACCATCCTCAAATATTCTGAATGTTGAAACTAAATATTTCTTCACATTGACACTCGTATTTTAATATTTCATGTAACTTGCATATAACTTAATTAATTTGAATGTTCAAACAGGTCGCAACCTCTTTAATACTATTCTCAAAATAAACCCTACTTAAATTTCATTCGTCTGACATTATGATATATAGTATTTTAATTAACTGATGAATTAAGTTGAATTTAATTTTTGTAATCATGTGGCAACCCCTTAAATATACAAAATTCGAAACAAAGCATTTTCAAACCCACTTCTTAACAGTGTTTCGTTTGACATATTTCAATATTTCATTGTGTATAAGTTAACTAAATTCGACTTTTCAAACAGATGGCAACCCTTTTCAAAATATTTACAAACTATTTACTAAACTTATTTGTGTGGTGACCATATTGTGGTAAATTCTTATGTTACCTAATTCCTTTATTTCAATTTGAATTGAATTCTTTTAACAGTTGGCAACCCTCTTACTGGTAAGTTGAGAAACAAAGCTTTTCGAAATAAATTCGATTTTTTAGTAATTGGTTTAACTTATTGAATAATTTGTACCTATTTTTTTTTAAGTGGCAACTCTTTTCGAAATAGTAAAACCGTATCATCTACAGCCCAAGTCTTTTAATTTGACACTTCGCTTTTGAAAATCGAATGAACGATGCGGATCTGATGGCATCGATTATTAAATAGTTTGAACTAAATTTTTTAAAAGGTGGCAACTCTCTTTGAAATAGTACAACCTTATTGCACATCTATAGCTCAAATCCTATAATTTGACGGGTTTGAGTTTTTCAAAAATATCGTTATATGGGATGAAGGCGTTGCTCTGTCCCATTTCTTCCATTTCCACACAAGTGCACAAGTGCGCACGGCTTTAAAAAGTCTTCCGCACAGTGCTCATATGTATGTATGTACTTCTTAGTCACGTGCAATTTTTGTGTCATAATATGTACTTATGTACATATGTATTGTAATAACAACATTCTGGTCACAAATGTATGTATGTACATGAACATACGTACATACACGTCACTATACTTTAGGCAACCCACTTGTTGCAAAAGCCATGCGACAACGCGCAACTGCAAAAAATCGAAATTGCTTTCGTTCCAAAGAGAGAATTTTAAATGTTAAGGAGGGTAGGGGTGCTGCACAAAACCGTATGTTCTACAGCTAAAAAATGAATGTAGAAAATCAACAATCGTAAAAAATATGTAGAATTCACCTACTTTCGATTGGGAATAAATTATTTCACTCATTATGACAGCAATATTACTTCCGTTTCCTATTTAAAAAAAAAAAACACCACCAGCTGACGCAATTTAAAAGCCACTCAACAGCGAGCGCAAGAGCAACCAGCCACCGGTTTCGCACAAGTATTGAGATTTTAACGCATCTCGCTCATTTTACTGTGGTGAGTTTTATGAGTGAGTTTTCGTGGCCTGAAGACGCGACCAGCTGGAGTTCGAATGCACTTCACTGTGCTGGTGGTGAATAGATTTCGTTGTGCTGTGCCGTGCGAAAGTCGTGTGCTACCGGAAGTCACGCTAGTCGACGGTTTCGTTGTGAATTTTTTTAAATTTTTCGTTCGGTGTGTTGTGCAAATGGAAAATAAGTTGATGCCTGCTTAGCGATACATTAGCTGTATCATCGAAATCAATGGAGATATGAAAATAAATGAATGGCGGCGCAACACTTGAATAATTTTAGTGAAAAATCGAAAGAAAAGTGCTTGGGAAGCCAAAAAAAAACATAACCGAAATGCGGGCATATGTGTGTGTGTGTGAAGAAATTTTCGTGAATGCTAAAAGCATTTAAGCAGCCAGCAGTGCTGCGAAAATAACAAAAAAATAGTAGCGAGTAGCTGAAATTAAAGTTTGTAGGTAGACACAAGTTGATTTTAGCCACTAAATAATTCAAAGATACCCACAACACTAGTGAAATAAAGTTAAGTATGAAGTGCATTGATGCATATAAATCAAGTTCTCGAGCGCATGCATTCCCAATTTAAAGTCAAACAAATGAAGAAAAACTGGAAGCAAGAGAAGGGCCTGAGCATTCCAAATTAATTAAAAAGTATACAACTGGCCATTCAAGTATCTCTTGGTTTTGTATGTTTGCATCTGTGTGAATTTGGTGCAGTTGTGTGTATGTAA